ATCGGAAACACAGCTGGTAATATTTGGTTTTAATTCGGCTTTTATCGGGGTTTATTTTTTGTATTTCTGTATTTTTGTATTTTGTATTTTTTGTATTTTGTGTATATTATTTGTTTTTAATATGCTGTGAACCGCCCTGAGTCCTATGGGAGAAGGGCGGTATACAAATTAAATTATCTATCTATCTATCTATCTATCTATCCTCTACCTCCTCCTCCTCTTCCTCCTCCTCTACCTCAGACATGTCAAACACAAGGCCCGGGGGCCGGATGCGGCCCGCGAAGTGGTTTCATGTGGCCCGCGAAGCCATCCTGGAAACAGTGAGGGAACGGCCCCCGCTGCCTTGGCCCTGGCCCACCCCGTCTGGGAGCCAATGTACAATTTTGTGGTGGCCATCTATGCTGAAACGCATTCAGTCTTAGCTCCACAAGGCTGTCTGGAAACAGCGAGGAACCAGCCCCTGCCGCGTCGGCCCTGTCCCCTGGGTGCATGCTGGGGAGGTGTCACCCTTTGTGAGGAATGAAGAAATGCACCATCGCCTGGAAATGGCCAGAAAATGGCCCTCGCCTACTTCACATATCCGGCTTGATGGGCTCTGCCCTGGTCCCACCCCTTTCTGCCAGAGACCCTCAGATCTGTCCCACTCCTGTCCAGGCCCCCACAGGCACCTTTGACATGAATGATGTAGATCTGGCCACGCCCACCCAGTAGGCCACACCCACTCCACCCACGCCCACCCAGTAGGCTGCACCCACCCTGGCCACACCCATCCGCCTCCCCCCCGATGGCAACCGCAATGCTGATGCGGCCCTCAATGAAATTGAGTTTGACACCCCTGCTCTACCTTCTCCTCCTTCACAAACCCCACTCCCTTCTCGTACTGATGATGTTACCTAGTTTTGGTAATGAAACGTCTGCAAGAAAACAACCAAGCTGAGAGAGCACCAGAAATCCCACAGTCTCCTCCTCCAACCACAATTGAGCTCTCAAAATTTCTACTGCCAGGCGGGAGAGTCATTAAGTGAGTTTTTCCCCCATTTTATGACCTTCCTTGCCGCAGTTGTTAAACGAATCACTGCAGTTGTTAAATTAGTAACCGGGTTGTTAAGTGAATCTGGCTTCCCCATTGACCTTGTAACTTCAAATGGCTACTAAGGGACCACTGGTAAGTTGAAGACAATCCGTCTAGCCAAGGGCAGAAAGAACGAAAGCCTAAACCAGTGGTGGCGAACCTATGGCATGCGTGCCAGAGGTGGCACTCAGAGCCCTCTTTGTGGGCACGCGCGCCTTGCCCCAGAGATGGCAACTGTCTCTCTTCAACCAGCCGTCCGCTAACTCGCCGAGGTCCCATGTGGCCAGATGCATCCCAGCACAGCTAGTTTCCCTCCACCCCCTCCCGTCCCATCCCTCCTGGTCTCGCATGCTCTCCTTTTCCTGGGCAGGACCCACTGCATCGCCTCCTCAGCTGTTGGCCGGCCGTCCAGCTCAGAAGCAGCTTCTCTGAACTGGCAGCGGGCTGCGGAGCCCCAGAGTGCACCGGTCGAGGGGCCGGCAGGCTGTGGCTGCTGACGGACACTGTCGGCCCCCATGCACTCGCTGGCCTCTGTGTGCGCAGGCCGATGGTGTCAGGCAGAAGCTGCCCCGGCCCCTGCCTTGCCTTGCCCTGCAACAATGGCACCCCAACTCTGCCTTGCCTTGCCTCACCTCACCCCGCAGGACGAGCCTCCTGCCCACCGCCCCACCTGCCAGAGATCCCCTGGATCTACCCCAACCCTGCCTGGCCCCCACAGGCATCACTCCCCACGAGCAACATCGAGGTGACCATGCCCACCTTGGCCGCACCCACCCAGTCTGCCATGACCACCACAGCCATGCCCACCCAGTGGGCCATGCCCATCTGGCACCCGGCGATAAATAAGTGGGTTTTGGGTTGCAATTTGGGCACTTGGTCTCTAAAAGGTTCACCATCACTGGCCTAAACCAAGTTATCTTCCAGCATAACACAATCTGCAAACGCAGCTGAACTCCATGCGAGTTAGGTGGCATACAAATTTAGTTAATAAATACATTTTAAAAAATCTTGCTTGCCTAATATAATAATATTTTTAGGGGTAAGACTCCAGAGCTTATAGCCTTCAGTTTTGTTTTTTTTTCCCCTATGCATGTATCTGTGGCTTGCTTTGAAGCTGCAAATGATTTACAGAGCCAGTAGGACAAAAGTAAAGAATGCAACTTTTAAAACATGCTTCAATTTTTTCTGCCTCCTAGTCACCCGTGGTTTCTCTGTTCAACCAACCATGTTTATCAGTACAGGAGGTCCCTGCTGAGCTGTGTAATTTCGGTAGCAATGTGAATAACAGAACAACAGAGTTGGAAGGGACCTTGGAGGTCTTCTAGTCCAACCCTCTGCTCAGGCAGGAAACCCTATACCAATTCAGACAAATGGTTGTCCAATTTCTTCTTAAAAACCTGCAGTGTTGGAACATTCACCCGCAACCTCTGAAGGTAAGCCATTCCTCTGGCTAATTATTCTTACTGTCAGGAAATGTCTCCTTGGTTCTAGGTTAGTTCTCTCCTTGATTAGTTCCCATCCATGGCTTCTTGCCCTGCCTTTACATGCTTTGGAGAATAAATTGGCTCCCTCTTCTTTGTGGCAACCCCTGAGATATTGGAAAACTACTAGCATTTCACCCCTAGTCCTTCTTTTCATTAAACTGAACCAGGGGTAGGCAACCCAAAACACTCAAAGAGCCACTTGGACCCGTTTCCCACCGAAAAGAAAACACTGGGAGCCGCAAAACCCTTTTGATATCTAAAATGAAGTTCGGCTCTTTTATGACTCATGGACTTCAACTCTCAGAATTCTCCTCGGAGAACACCGTAAGTCCACTTTCTTTTTTACACACAAACACACACACACACACACATCCACTCTCTTTTTTACACACAAACACACACACACACACAGAGAGAGAGAGAGAGAGAGAGAGAGAGAGAGAGAGAGAGAGAGAGAGAGAGAGAAGGGAAGTGCAAGTGCCTCTCTCTGTCTCAGTCTCTCTCTGCAAATGGCAGAGGAGGCTGGGAGCCACAGGGGAAGGCTCAAAGAGCCACATGCGGCTCCGGAGCCGCAGGTTGCCGACCTGTGAACTAGACGTACCCAGTTCCTGCAACTGTTCTTCATATGTTTTAGGCATGAGATCTGATTCAGGGGCAAAGCACATGTTTTGCATATATCAGAGGCTGGATGTAATCTCTGAAATCTCCACTTTGAGACAGACAGAGACAGGCAGGCAAGCAAGCAGGCAGGCAGGCAGATCTCCATGCCAGCAGGAAGGTCATTGTGCAAAGAGGAGGTGTTGAACCTAACAAATGATGGACTAGAAAATTTTTCTACTGATCCTGTAGCCCTATTCTCAAAAATATCTTGAAACAAATAGGTACACTGACGCTTGCGTAGACTTTGATTTCCGCTCCCATCGTCAAACTGTCTGCGTTTGATGATGAAAGCTGCGGATGATGGACACCGTCATCCCCCAAACAAACAGAGACTGCCAAATCACTATCACTTAAGTTGGTAGCACTGCTTTGCCAGGGTCTTCTGAGGCCCACCAGGAAGTGGGTACCCACCCCTGCAGCCCTGGATTGTGGGCCACGCATTTGGCTAACTCACCCGTGGGAAAGTTGTGGGTTTCAGCGGTGAAGATGACATGTCGGGTGGAGGTCCGCTTCTCGAAGGGACTGGCCTTGGATGGGTCGCTGGGCCAGAGTGAGAGGACTTCCTTGCCTTGGATTGCACTTGAAGGAGAAGACACAAAACTTAAGCTTCAGGAATGCATCAAAAATGAAAATCTTCTTCGTCCTGGTGCATTGGAACTACAGCACCCAGATTTCCTTGCTCTTCAGCTGTACTGATTGGGAATCCTTGGACCTGTGGTCTCCCAAGGCATCTGAGAAACATCCCACTGAGTCAAACAGGTTCCACTTCTCTTCCTCAGTGGCTGCGCCAAGTAGTCCTTGACTTATGACCGCAATTGGGACGGAAACTTCCATCACTAAGCAATGCCGTTGTTAAGTGAGTTGCACCTGATTGTGCAACCATTTATTTGCAATTTATTTGTCGTTAAGTGAATCGTGCTACTTATTACATGAATCTGACTTTCCCCGTTGACTTTGCTTGTTGGAAACCCCCAGAGTAAATTACTAATGGCATTCACACGACACTGCAACCAACGTAAATACATACCGGTTGCCAAGCACCCAAATCCTGACCACAGCGAGGCTGCGATGGTCATAAAAGCAAGAACTGGTCATAAGACACTTTCTTCTGTACCTCTGAATAACTACGAACGGTCATTAAATGAGCGGTCGTAAATCGAGGACTATCTGTCTTGCCAATCTAGCAATTCCAATTTTCAACTGCCGGGTGGGGAAAGAGACAGAGAGAGAGAGAACGGGGAAATACCCACCTGCTGTTGTCGCAAAATTTGATGACGTTGTTGGGATTGCTCCGTTCTTGAGTTTTCATGATGGACTCGAAGAGCGATTCCTTCATTTCCTTCCCGTCCACCAGGAGGCGCCCTTTGAAGAACCAATGCCGGCTGTGTTCACTGCGGGGAAACATCAGGTAGAAGGAAAGAAAAGGTAAGAAGACTATCCCAAAGGTGCTTTTTTTTTTTTCCCAGGAGGCAACTGGACTTTCTCGTTTTTCTTTCAAAGACATTTCGCTTCTCATCCAAGAAGCTTCTTCAGCTCTGACTGGACGCTGGGGAATGGAAGGATTTAGATTCCTTGCAGACAGCTGGTCATTTGCATTCTTTTAGAGCAGGGGTGTCAAACTCAATTTCATTGAGGGCCGCATCAGCATTGCGGTTGCCCTTGGGGGCCGGGTGGGTGTGGCCAGGGTGGGTGTGGCCTACTGGGTGGGCGTGGATGGAGTGGGTGTGGCCTACTGGGTGGGCATGGCCAGCTGTACATCGTTCCCGTCAAGGGTGCCTGTGGGGGCCTGGGCAGGAGTGGGACAGATCTGAGGGTCTCTGGCAGAAGGGGGTGGGACCGGGGCAAGTGCCAAGGCATGGTCCATTTCTTCATTCCTCACAAAGGGTGACCCCTCCCCTGCATGCACCCAGGGGCTGGGGCCAATGCGGCAGGGGCTGGTTCCTCGCTGTTTCCAGACGGCCTTGTGGAGCTAAGACTGAATGCGTTTCAGCATAGATGGCCACCACAAAATTGTACATTGGCTCCCGGCTGGCCTGGGCCAGGGCTAAGGCAGCAGGGGCCGTTCCCTCATTGTTTCCAGGATGGCTTCGCGGGCCACATGAAACCACTTCGCGGGCCTCATCCGGCCCCCAGGCCTTGTGTTTGACATGTCTGTTTTAGAGAGTCGTTGAGGCCATTTTGAGGTTTAAATGAACTGCTATAAGTTGAGGACTGCCTGTATAACTTTATCCATAGGAATTGAGTGATAATAAGGGATTCCATTTTTCTTAGGTCAATTAAACCTATTTAGGTCATAAGAAGGGGAAAAAACAGCACTAGAAATTGAGGCATTCACCATTTATTCTGGATCATATCATTACATTCATCTCCTTCTTTGGGGGGGGGAATATAAAATTCCAGAAATATATTGTCTTCTCTCTCTGCTTGTTAACTCTTGCTTTCCTATTCTCTCTAGAGCGGGGGTCCCCAACCTGTGGGCCGTGGCCCAGGGCCTGCTAGCCACCGGGCCGCGGGACAGGCTGGCCAGTGCGCGCATGTGTGCATGCACACACACCCCCACACGTGCTAGCGCCATGACATGGGGCGTGAAAACAGGACACCGCCACGCCTTGAGACACAAAAACGGGACGCCGCGCACCTCACAGTGTGAAAACGGGGCTCCGTGCTGCAGGGCATGAAAACAGGATGCTGCGCCGTACAAGAATGGGGCAGGGCTAGCGAGTATCACACAAACGCTAGCGCCGCCCCGTTTGCGTCGTGCACATGCTCGCGGGCCCATGCACGCATGTGCGTGTAAAATGCTTCCTCTTCCCTTTTCCTCCAGTCTGCCCACTAAGAAAGGTTGGTGACCTTTGCTCTAGAGTAGCTTTCCTCAGCCATGACAATTTTTAAGATGTGTAGATTTCAAATCCCAGCTGGCTGGGGAATTCTGGGAGCTGAAGTCCACACATCTGAAAATTGCTAAGGTTCAGAAACACTGCTCTAGAGGTCCTTGGGCCAGAAACAACCTGGAACATGATTTTAAATAAAGGGAATCCCATGGCCCTGGGACAGTACAACCATCATAAATATGAATCAATTGCCAAGGGTCCCAATTTTGATCACGTGCCCATGGGGATGCTGCGAAGGCTGTGTGAAAACTGATCATCAGTCGCTTTTTTCAGTGCTGTTGTTAACTTTGAATGGTCACTAAATGAGGACTGCCTGTAAGTCGAGGACTACCTGTGCAATCAGGCATGGCACTAGAAAATTGAAGGGTATTTTTTTCCTTTTTTCCCCCACAGTGGCCAAGCATCCAAATTTTGATCACGTGACACCCAGGCATGCTGTAGCAGTCACAAGTGTCAAAAATAGCCCTAAGTCCCTTTTTCCAGTGCAGTTGTGACTTTGGTCACCAAACAAATCATTGTAAGTCGAGGATTACGTGAACTGTTCAAAGTTTTCCGCCAGGGCAGACTCTAAGGCAGAGTTTTTCAACCTGGGCAGCTTTTAAGTTGCGTGGACCCCATTACAGAAACAATACCTGTTGGACTGAGCAAGGTCAAAGCATTCTACGCTGGTGGGGTTTCTGCCCAGTTTTTGGAAGAGAGCGGTGTAGAAATCCAGGTCCCAGGAATCAAAAGCCAGACCTAAGGAAGCAGAGAAACACAGAGGTTGACTTACCGGTGTCACTTAATTTCTACCCCAGCCCTTCCTGCATGAAAAGAAATGAATGAACAAATGTAAGAGGATATGAGAAGGAATCGCTTTGCAATTTGAAGCAATAATGATGTCCTTATGCAGGGGTCTTCAAACTTGGCAACTTGAAGATTTGTGGACTTCAACTCACAAAATTCCCCAGCCAAAAATTTCTCCTTAGTTCTAGATTGGTTTTCTCCTTGATGAGTTTCCATCCATTGCTTCTTGTCCTGCCTTCAGGGGCTTTGGAGAATAGCTTGACTCCCTCTTCTTTGTGGCAGCCCCTGAGATATTGGAAGACTGACATTATGTCTGTTTGTCTGTCTACCTATATCTATATCTATCTATTATATTTCTATCTATCTATCTATCTATCTATCTATCTATCTATCTATCTATCTATCTATCTATCTATCTATCTATCTATCTATCTATCTCTATTCTATTCTATTCTATTCTATTCTATTCTATTCTATTCTATTCCATTCCATTCCTATTCTATTCTATTCTATTCTATTCTATTCCATTCCATTATCTTTATTTTATTCCATTCCATTCCATTCTATTCTATTCTATTCTATTCTATAAATTCATGTTTCCTTCCACAGTAAATTGTTTCCGGTCTAAGAGCTTAAGAGAAGACTGTGAGTAGAAGAACCCAGAATTTGAAGGATGTGTGTCTACAATGTATGTTCTTATTTGTGGTTTTGACTTGTGTGTAGCATTAATTTTGTTGTGAGTTACACAATGACAATAAAGATATTCTATATCTATATTTATATCTATCTTTGGAGAATAGGTTGAACCCCTTCTTCTGTATGGCAGCCCCTCAAATATTGGAACACTGCTATCATGTCACCCCTAGTCCTTTTCATTAAACCAGACATACCCAATTCCAGCAACCGTTCTTCATATATATGTTTTAGCCTCCAGCCCCCTAATCACCTTGGCTGCTCTTCTCTGCACTCTTTCTAGAGTCTCAACATCTTTTTTGTATCATGGTGATCGAAACTGAACAACAGGCTACTACAAACTCAGCCTGCTGTCTCCTAGCTAAATAATTCCCCAATATTTCCCCAATCTCTTTACCCTCCCTAGCTCATACCAAGCTGGTTGTTGGCCTTGACGAGAGCCGCTCTCCCTTCTCCAAGAATATCAACGTGGAACACCGCTTCGGGGTGGGTTGCTACAGCAAAACTGTTGATGGGTTCGGGATAGGTCTGCTCCGTCATCCGATCATAGAGTGAAGCTACCAGCTGGGTCTCCTGGGATGATGTGGGCAGTTGATCACACTGAAAAACAAAATCAACCTTTGGATTCTAAATTCAAGAGGGGTTTTATGCACCTGATGAAGAAAACTTTGGATATCCAAAGAGCAGATTCAAGACCCACCCTCTGAAATAGCCAAACGAGAGAAAATGGTGTAGCAAATCTGCAGCTACGAATTCTATCGGGTGTTCCAGACATTTTGGAAACTGTCCACCTAGTCCAGGGGTAGGCAACCTTGGCTCTTTTATGACTCGTGGACTTCAACTCCCAGAATTCCTGAGCCAGCCACGCTGAGGGGAAAGGGAGAGGTTTCCAAGCTGAGCCATGCTGGCTCAGGAATTCTGGGAGTTGAAGTCCACGAGTCATGAAGGGGCCAAAGTTTCCCTCGTGCTGGCTCAGACAGAAGAATAAGGAGCTGATTAGAGCTAGGACAGGGCTAGGCCACCTTGGCTCTTTTATGACTCGTGGACTTCAACTCCCAGAATTCCTGAGCCAACATGGCTCAGCTTGGAAACCTCTCCCTGTCCCCTCAGCGTGGCTGGCTCCAGAATTCTGGGAGCTGAAGTCCACGAGTCATAAAAGAGCCAAGGTTGCCTACCCCTGGATTAGGCCTAGGCTACTTTCTGACTCGTGGACTTCAACTCCCAGAATTCCTGAGCCAACATGGCTCAGCTTGGAAACCTCTCCCTGTCCCCTCAGCATGGCTGGCTCAGGAATTCTGGGAGTTGAAGTCCACGGGTCATAAAAGAGCCAAGGTGGCCTAGCCCTGACCTAGTCTTAAAGCTACAAATCTACAAATCCTGATTAGTAGGTTGTACCTCCGACTGAAACAAAGGATTGCAGTATTTCCACACCTCCCAACGGGAGGGTCCCCTTCGCTAGAAGTGGTTGGGGAAGTTGGTCCATAATCAACTGAGAAAAAAACTACAGGTAATCCTCCACTTACAGTCATTCATTTAGCGACCGTTTGAAGTTACAACGGCACTGAAAAAAGTGACTCATGACCCTTTTTCACACTTACGGCTATTTCCGCATCCCTGTGGTCATGTGATCAAAATTGGGATACTTGGCAACTGGTTCATATTTATGATGGTTACAGTGTCCCGAGGTCACGTGATCACCTTTTGTGACCTTGTGACAAGCAAAGTCAAATGGGGGAAGCCAGATTCACTGAACAACCGTGTCACTAACTTAACAACTGCAGTGATTCACTTAACAATTGTTGCAAGAAAGTTCGTAAAACGGGGGAAAATTCACTTAACAACTGTCTTGCTTAGCAATGGAAATTTTGGACTCAGCTGTGGTTGTAAACCTACCTGTAATTAGGCATCGTATTAAAGCTTTATTCAACTATTATTCAAGAATTTTTATCCCTGCAAGCAGGCTGCAGAACAGCTCCCCCCGTCTATCTAAGATAATTCTTAGATGTGCACGTGGGAAGCAGAGGGGAAACAGAAGAAGATACAAAAATACACACATACTTTGAAAAGGTAGCGTCGGGAACACTCAACTCGGTCAATATTTTCCAACCCAGCCGCCAGGCACACGGAGACAGCATTGGTGGAATAGGCAGTCGAAAAATTCAACCTGCAAGCATGAAGAAGATGAAGATAACTATGGAGGAGGAGGAGGAGGAAGAAGAGGTTGTCTTGAAATTAAATCCAAACAGATCTGAAGCTTGGATACATTCTCGCCATATGTCCTTTAATAATGCCTAATGCAAGGAGATCCAATCAGTCAATCTTAAAGGAAATCAACCTTTAACTGTTCTTTGGAAGGACAGATACTGTAATTGGAGCTCAGATATATTGGCTACCTAATAAGAAGAGAGAAGACTCGTTGGAAAAGACCCTGTGTAAGGACCTGCCCCAGGTGGACCCTCAGGAAAGTGAAACTCTTGACGCCGTTGAAATGAATCAAAAGGACTTTTACTGAGAGAAAGTGGATGCAGAAAAGTCAGGTGGAATCTGAAGGTCCTGTGCAAATCACAAAACAATTCTTTCATTTCCCCAACTTCTCCACCCCCAACCAATCCACCAACAGCCAATGTGATGCCGTAAGGTTGTTTTGAGAACGCTGAGGTGCTGGGTTGATAACAGGCCACCCTCAGGGTACGAGAGCCTTGGAACCAGGCTGGAACCGGCTGGGAAGGAGTCTGCTCTGTTTCTGAAGACAATCCCCCTCTCTAATTCCCAAACAGTTACAGCAAAAGCGAAAGCATGCAAAAAAAAAAAAATGCCAGCAAGGCTTCCTTCCCCACCACCCCTCCTTCAACAAAATGGCAGGACACAATAGTGGACTTGACATCCTGATGTTGGGAAAGACTAACGGCAAAAGGAGAAGGGGACGGTGTCGCTGACACAATGAACATGAATTTGGCCAAACTCTGGGAGACAGTGGAAGGGGGGGGCTGGCAAGCTATGGGCCATGGGGTCACAAAGAGTTGGACACAACTTAGCGAATGAACAGCAACAACTAGAATGCTTAAGTGCAGGCCAACCATAAATGACATAGTCTAGAACAGGGGTAGGCAACCTTGGCTCTTTTATGACTCGTGGACTTCAACTCCCAGAATTCCTGAGCCAGCCGTGCTGAGGGAAAAGGGAGAGGTTTCCAAGCTGAGTCCATGCTGGCTCAGGAATTCTGAGAGTTGAAGCCCACGAGTCATAAAAGAGCCAAGGTTGCCTACCCCTGCCCTATATCAGGGGTCCTCAATCTTGGCAACTTTATGACTCGTGGACTTCAACTCCCAGAATTCCTGAGCCAGCATGGCTCAGCTTGGAGACCTCTCCCTTTCCCCTCAGCGTGGCTGACTCAGGAATTGTGGGAGTTGAAGTCCATGAGGCATAAAAGAGCCAAAGTTGCCTACCCCTGGTCTAGAAAGTCTCAGTACTTCTCCCCAGTCAGAACTGATTTAAAACAAATGATCAGCTCTGTTTTGGAGGCACACTATAATTATTTACTTTATTTGTTAGGTTTTTATCCCAGCTTTATTACTTTATACATCACCCGAGCCAGCGAACATACATAACACTCCTTCCTCGGTGCTCCTTTGAAGAACACAGCTTGCCCAAATCAAACATCACAGCAAAATAGGGTTAATTACAAACCAGCAAATAAAAGCAGACCAACAAATGAAAGTTCATTGGAAGTCCTGCTCGTCATGTCTGAATGTGGTTACTTACAGATTGGCATTCACACATTATGATATAGTTTGTTCGGTTTTGACTTATGCAAACGCAGCCACAACCTCCGCAGTCTGTACACCGCTATTGGTTGTTTAGTATGGTGAATGAAGCCAACTAATTGTGGGGTTCTTTAGCAAGGAGCAATTTAGGCAATGTGCATATCTATCCTTTCACTTTGGGATTTATTGTTGACTATGAACTGAAAAAAAAAGCAAGCCTCTGGACTCATAAAAACGGAATTTATTTCTATTGGTAATAAGTGCAGCTTTGTCTTCACCAGTAGACTTACCTTGGACCGAATTCTACCAGGAGATCAGAGGGGCGTGGACTGAGAAAAGATTTGGGTGCAATGTCGCCTTTTTCGAATGGACAGCCAAAAACCCACTGCAACATTTCCATCTCCCGGATGCTCGGGAGAGTCTTTCCTGTTGACAAAACAGGGATGGAAAAAAAGTAATTTTTCCCATACTCTAACAGGGCTATAACCCAGCAGGCCAAGAGGGATAAGCACACTCTGAATCAAACCATTATCTCTTAAATAGGAAGAAAACCACCATACTGAGCGTGCGTCCCTCAGTTCCTCATTCCAAACCCTCCATCGGAATCTACATCTGTGTTCTTCAGTGTTGGCAGGTTGATGATGTGTGGACTTCAACTCCCAGAATTCCCTAGCCAGCCATGCTGGTTGGGAATTCTGGGAGTTGAAGTCCACACATCTTCAAGCGGGCAAGGTTGAGCAACACGGATGTAGACCAAGGTTGATTCAATTCTCCTACCTGTCCAGTTGACGTTGAAACACAGTTCCTTCTGGACCGCTTGGACGCCATCGCCTAAGATAGTTTGGGCAGACAGCAGGAGATTGTTGAGGCCACTGTCGGCCTCGCTGGGCCTTTGATAATAATGTAAAACCACCATGTCTGTCCTAAGGGAATAGAATAGAGAGACAATGAGGAAACTTAACAGTATACGTACAAAATAGAAGTTTAATACAGGTAATCTTATGACTGCGACTGAGGCCAGAATTACAATAATAGGATGTTAGATCATTAAGCGGGTCACTGCCTGACAATTTTGTGGCCCTTTTTTATGGTAATTGTTAAATGAACACAAGGGACATTATGTGAATAATGTGAATTATGTTAAGCGAATCCACTTTATCTAATGGATTGGGGTTCCCCCCCCCCGAAACCAGAAGTAAACACAAGAAAGTCACACACAAAGAAAACATTGAAAATCCTGGTTGTGTAACTTCAAGACACTACAAACGGCCATAAAGGTGAGTGGGTTGTCAAGCACCTAAAACGCAATTTTGTGATTACGAGGTGCATGCATGCGTGTGTGTGTGTGTGTGTGCTGCAGCCATCAAAACTTAAAAACGGTGTTGTTAGTATCTTTGGCGGTGTCCATGGTAACTTCAATCAGACACTAAGTGACCTGTCATTAAGTGAGGACCAATTGCACTGTGTACAGCTCTGCTCACACGTGAACTGGACAAGAGGACAATTTCACGAAGAAACTCAAAAACACGAGACAGGGGGAGACATTTTGAGATTCTCCAGCTTTCAGAAAAGACAATGAGGGAGGGAGACATGATGAAGATGTATACGACCTATTTAGCCCAAATTTTCTGTTGCTAAGACAGACGGCTATTAAGCGAGTTTTGCCCCATTTTACGACCGTTCTGGCCACAGTTAAGTGAATCACAGCAGTTATTCAGTTAGTAACATGACTGTTAAGTGAACTTGGCTCCCTTGTCAGAAGGTCGCAAAAGGTGATCTCATGACCCCAGCCAGGACACTGCAACCGTCATAAATACGAAAGTGGCCAAGGGTACAAATTTGAGTCATGGAATACTGCAACGATTGTAAGTGTGAAAAACTTTTATAAGCCACTTTTTTCAGTGCCACTGTAATTTTGAATGGTCACTAAAAGAACGATTGTAAGTCAAGGACTATTTGTGCAATCATGTATGGCGCTAGAAAATTGAAGCGTATTTTTTCTTCCTCTTTTCAAAGCGTGAAGACCAGAGGTTATCCAATGAAAGTGAATGAAAGGCTGTTTAGAACAGAACCAAAAATTCCCTTCTTCAGACAAACCTAATTAACTAGGAAAAATTCACTACCGGAAGATCAGCTAATAACGTGGATGGCTTGAAAGCGTGACTGGGTCAATTCATAAAGAGCAGATCTACTGAAGCTATGATGGCACCAGACAAAAATGACTCGGGATCAGTTCTTGCACTTACGACTGTCACAACATCCCCCCAAAATTTGGGTAGCTGGCCATCCATCGGCATGTATTCCGGTTCACGGTTCCCAGGATGCCGCAGCCGTGATCTGCATCACAGTTGCAGCATTGTGGGGTCACATGATCACCTCCCCAAATGGCTTCTGACAAGCAAAGTCAATGGGGAATTCCAGATTCGCTTAACGACTGTGTGATTCGCTTAATGAAGTTCACAAAGTGGTCATAAAACTAGTCCAAAGGTGCTTTTTCAGGAGGCAACTGGACTTTCTTGTTTTTCTTTGAAGACGTTTCGCTTCTCATCCCGGAAGCTTCTACGGCTCCGGCTGGATGATGGGCAATGGAAGGATTTATACTCCTTGCAGACGGCTGGTCATTTGCATTCTTTTAGAGAGTCATTGAGGCCACTTGGAGGCCTCAACATTTGCACTACTTAGGAAACCCTGAGGTCACAGGAAAACCTCCAAATGGCTTCAACAACTCCCTAAAAGAAGACAAATGACCAGCTGCCTGCAAAGAGTATAAATCCTTCCATTCCCCACCATCCACTCAGAGCCGAAGAAGCCTCTTGGAGGAGAAGCGAAACGTCTTCAGAGAAAAACAAGAAAGTCCAGTTCCCTCCTGAAACAACCTTTGGGTCAGCCATGGCCTGGATGACTGAGAATCTCCATAGTCGTAAAACTAGGCTCCGCTCACTTAACGACTACATTGCTCAGCGATGGAAGTTCTAGTCCCAACTATAGGTCGTAAGTCGAGAATTACCTGACCGGGCAATTTTTAAAGCAGAAGAATCTGCTAGGCCTAGTGGTCAATATATGGAAGTGCTAAGGGAGCAAATACTGCATTTTATTTCAGAGGTCACTTAGGTTCACCTGCAACTGTTGTACCAATGTGGTGCCAGCCGACGTAGGTCCTACTCCAGAGAGCTGCTGTTTGATCAAAGAGACATCAGAGCAAATACCCAACGGACAAGCCAAAGAGGTCGTTGCCCTCCAAAACTGCTCACAATTCTTGCGTCACTCAAAGCTTCAGAGCAATCTTCGTTGCTTTGCAGCTTCAGTTGCACAAAAATGACAGCAGTTGCGTATCGTGGGGCAAGGGTCCATCCTCCACTTAGCAAGGTTTTTCAAAAGTGGTTTGCCATTGCCTCCTTCCTAGGGCTGAGAGAAAGTGACTGGCCCAAGGTCACCCTGCTGGCCTAAGGCAGGACTAGAATTCACAGTCACCCAGTTTCTAGCTCAGTGGTTCTCAACCTGTGGGTCAGGACCCCATTTGGGGTCGATCGACCATTTCATGGGGGTCGCCAAGCAAGGCTGTCCGCCATTTTTTTTGTCCGCCATTTTTTTCCCCTTTTCTGGCGGGTGCCTTACCTCCCTTGGGCTGGGCCAGCTGGTGGTCAGCCTGCTCCGTCTCTGCTGCTTGCCAGCTACGCCTCGGCCAGCGCAGGGGGCGGAACCACGCATGCGCGGCGCTCCCAGGCAGGGAAAGTCCTCGACTTACGACCGGTTTAGTCCTCGACTTACGACCGGTTTAGTCCTCGACTTACGACCGGTTGGGGTCGCGGCATTAAAAAGGTTGAGAACCACTGTTCTAGCTGGATGTCCTTAACCATGACACCAAACCGCCTCTCTGATGTATAAAACAACTGGCGCAAACAGATTAAATGCTACTAAGGTGCAAACGCACACCCGATAAGAGTCAAAATTCACAAAATTTTAAAAAGACGATTTAAGCAGGAAGAAAATCTGGACGGTCCCCCAAATCAGCTAAATCAAACAGAAAACCTACGGCTGAGTCAACTTCATCACAACTTTTGGCCACCAGTCAATCTCTCGATACTCCTTTCAAAAAACAAACTACAATACGTCCTGTTTCATCCTGTCTCCCCAGCAGGAGCGGACCCCGGTCCCTTCACCCTCAGCCCACCCAGCACGATGGGAGTTGTAATCCCACGCGTCTAAGTTGGGGACGTTTGCAACGGATGCACGTGCTCCTTTCTTCGGGAGCGACCAAGTGAAAGTTTGCCCACCCTGGGGGAAAAAAAAAAAACGACCCCAGCCCGGTTTTACTATTTTGATCCCAAGCGATCTCCAGCTCCGGAGACCGAGTAGCAGACCCGGGCTTTCTTTCAGGAAAGAGCCCCATTTCCTCTACGATACCGAACTCGGGACACGCGGGTCGTGGGGAAAGCCCGAGTTCTCAGGTTGTGCAGCCTTACCTTTGCCTCGGCTGGCTGGGTCTCCTGTCCCCGCGCGATCTCCGCCGCGGCGCTCGCTCTCCGATCACGGGGCACTGGCGAGGCTGGCGCGCGCGGCCCCCGGCGTGGGAGGGGAGCTTTCCCTGGGGAGGGGCGGGGGGAAAGGAGGGTGTGGGAGGTGGCCAGCGGCCCCGCCCTCCTCTCCTATTGGCTGCCTCGCTTCCGGCTTTCAGCCTTGGAAAGGAGCCCGGGGCGGGGGGGGGCGCGCGAGGCAAACTTCGATCGCGGGAGGGAGGGGGAGGGAAGGCTTGCACACAAACACACACACACAAACACACGAGAGAGAGAGAGAGAGAGAGAGGGAGAGCGAGAAAGAGGAAAAGGGGAGAGGTAGAAATAGAAAGGGAGAGGGTGAAAAAGAGGGAGAAGGAGAAAAAAGAGAGGGAAGGAAAAAGAGGGGGAGAAAGGGGGAGGGAGAAATAGAGAAAGAGGGAGAAGGAGAAAAAAGGGGGAAGGGAGAAGGAGAGTGAGAAAGAGAAAAAAGAGGGAGGAGAAAAAGATGGGGGAGGGAGAAACAGAAAGGGAGAGGGTGAAAAAGAGGGAGAAGGAGAAAAAAGAGGGGAGGGAAAAGGGAAAAAAGGGGGAGGGAGAAATAGAGAGAGAGAAGGAGAAAAAAGGGGGAAGGGAGGGAGAGAAAGAGAAAGGAAAAAGGGAGAAGGAGAAAAAGATGGGGGAGGGAGAAATAGAAAGGGAGAGGGTGAAAAAGCGGGAGAAGGAGAAAAGGGGAGGGAAAAAGGGGAAGAGAGAAAGAGAGAAGGAGAAAAAAGGGGGAAGGAAGAAGGAGAAAGAGAAAGGAAAAGGGGAGAGGGAGAAAAAGAGGGGGGAGGGAGAATTTGAGAGAAAGAGAGGGAGAAGGAGGAAAAAGGGGGAAGGGAGAAAGAGGAAGAAGGAGAAAGAGAAGGGAGAAGAGGAAAAGGGGAGAGAGCGAGAGGGAGAAAGAGGCAGAGAGAGAGAAAGAGACTGTGTGCCTTCCAATCAGTGCAACCCCGCCCTCCTTTTAGGCATCCGTCTCCCCCCTTCCCAAGAGCCGGAGGAGGGGAATCTGAGTTGGTCTTTTGGATCGCTTTGTCTTGTGGTGATCTGTCTCTCTGGCCCCTGCTAGTGGCATCCAGGTCATGCTGCCTGTGCTGACTTGGCTGAGCTTTGGAAGCTTAGCTGGATGGGAGACCACTGGGTGATCCAAGGGCTGGAGGCTAGATTGGGAAAGTTGGAAAAAAATATATCGCGGGAGGAAGCAAAGACAAAGCGTGCTTTATTCGAGCCTGATTGATCTTGAAAGCATAGCAGCGTGGCTAATGCTCGGATGGGGCACCACCAGGATATGCTGGGACCGCAGGCCAGATTTTAAAAACAGCTGGAAAGTTGGCGACCATAGATGACTTCCATGTGCTTCTTAATACACGCGTGGTTGTCT